GTCTTCTTTGTATTTGGGTAAGAAATTTAATAGAAACTAGAAATGAATTGAGTTATTTTCTATAGATTTAACCTTTCTTACTATATGTTTGAATATTACAACATGTTATATAAAGATTAAAGAGTTTTTAAAGGATTAAGTTGATATGTATTTTCATGAAGTCAGAATTAAACTTAAATTTGTTAGTTAATGAGATAACAGATCAGTAAGAATACATATACAGTTTTTTTGCATACTATACATAAACAGTAAAAGTTTTTACCTGGGTGCATTATTAAGAAAAGAGCGTTTCATGCAAATGAAAGATTAATACATGTTTCTTTTTTTTAAAAGAGGATTTTTAGCTTTGAAAAATGTTTTTTTTTTTGTATGTAATATTTAAATACATTGATATGTATGTTTGTATGTATTAAATAATTTTACATGTGATACTAACATTGAAGTAAAACAGTTCTAAGACTCAAAAGTAAATAGAGCTTTTGTTTTTTACGTGCACTGAGTACTAGTATTATAATAAATGCAAACTTTGTGTGTCACTGTATTAGTTTATACATGTAAAATATATGTTGAGATGTGTATGCTCCCTTGTAAGCTGGCAAACAATGATTATAGTTATGCTTTTCATAAGATATTAGTATTAAGCGTATTACATTCTTTTTTATTTAGTCTCTTAGGGATTTCAAGAGTTAGAAGTGTGTATAATAATAATAGTATTCAAACAACACTATATTCGTAATATCCTCTTCTGTTAACGCGTTTTACTCGGGCCGGCTGGGGTACAACAAACACAGTAATGATCAGAACACTACTTATACATTTGTTACAGCAATAGTTGTTATGGTGTGTGCTCTGCTAGTGAACACCGAGTACAAATCATACTTGTCATAAGACATTAGTGTTAGGCCTATTACATTTTTAACACTACATTTTTTATATCTAGCCCTTTTCAAGAATTAGAAGAATGTATAAGAGAGACTAGGTAAAAAAATGTAGTGCTTAAAATATGATAGGCCTAATACTAACGTCTTATGACAAGTATAATTGTAATTATTATTTGCTAGCTTGCAAAGAGCGTACACGCTATTAACATATTTTACATGTACATGCTTATACAGTAACACATACACAGAAAGTTTGTATTTATTCTAATATAGTAATCAGTGTTTAAAATGTTTTCTGTTATTATTTTGGTGTAACTACATTTTTGATTAAACAAATATATAATGTTCATCATCAAATTTGAATTGTAATTACTTTGAATTATAGTTTTCTTACATTATCTTATTTAGGTTTTTGGTCCTTCTTATATTTTATTGGATTTTGCTATTTGTGTGATGCGTGGCATAAATCAGACAACCCCATAGGAGGTTTTGGAGTTGGAAATGCCAAGGCAGCCATTGCTTTCAGCTTTTTTTCTATCATTTCATGGGTAAGTCTAAAAATTTCTGGTAATTAATTATGGTGAAACTTGAGCTTACAATATTGATGTGTCTCCTTTTGTAACTGAAAAAGTTACCAAGACTAATTATTCTTGATACATACAGTTCATGAGGTGAAATTTACAGTTCTACAAGCTTAATCTCAGTTAATTTATTCAATATTTGTGTAATGTTTTAGGTTTATGTGTAGAGAGAAAGATAGCTAATGACTTACGTAAGCCATTTTTAAAATATCTATTTCATGTCATTAAAACCACTTGGGTACCATTTTCATCCAGAACTTATATCTAAGGCCAGGAAACTAAATGAGGATATCTTACATAGAACTGTTATTATTTTTACCCAAAACTTTGTGATCTAATGACATTTATTGCATTGTGTTCCAGATAAGTGGCACTAAATTATGAACACAACTGAAGGCGTTAGAAGTTACTGTGTCCTAAATTAAACAACTGTATAGGTATATTTAGTAATTGAAAATAACAGTTACTTGATATTTTAGGCTGGATGTGCATTTCTTGCCTTTCGACGTTGCTATTGGAACGCAGATACATCATTTGGTACTGGGTATGATTCTGATCCTAATGCAGAAGCAGTAAGAGGCCCATATAATAGTTACCCAGATGGTCCAGACATGAATGAAGCATATGAAGAGCCACCTTTCTCACAACTTCCTCAAGAAAGTAAAGTAAATGTAGGAGGTCCGACCTTCCAAGCTTCTTCTTACTAAGAAAATGGACCATTTTAGTCTGTAATTATAACCTAGACTGTGCAGGAACAAGATATCCAAACCTACTTCTCTTTGCTGTTAACCGAGGATCCTTCGATATGTGAGAGCATTCCCAATATTTGTGTATTTGTATGAGTGTGCTCTCGGTATTTGAACTTGTTAACCCTTGTTCATTTTTAAACTTAAAAACTATCACATTCACAGTATATGTACATCTATGGGGTACTTGCAATAAAGTACTTACGGATCAGTAAAGCTGATAGCTTATCTGTATCTGAATCATGTAAAATACGTTTAATTATTAGATTTTAGAAATCAACATGTTTTAGAATTATTAAGAGTTACTAAACTGTTGAAGTTATTTTGCTTCTAGTAAAACATGTTATAATATATATTAATTGTTTATGGGACCATAGACTTGGATTAATTAATTTTTTTTTAAATCAGAAACTTGTATTTTATTGTACATGGGTATCATAATAATTTTGATTCATGTACATGATTGTGGAATACACTTTATCAATATTGTGAATGATTAGACAAATGACGTTTCTTTCGCATAAAAGTCTAGCTCAAATTATGTGCCATGATACAAAAAATATTGAGTTGTGTTAAAATGGAAGCAATTGTTAGAATATATTGCATGACAAAAGGATGCAAGCATGTATTTATGACACTTATATCAGTTTGTATTTGTTGGTGTACTAATAAGAATAAATATGGGTACACTGTAATCTTGTCCCAAACTGTTGAAGTCCAGAAACATCGTTAAGTATGATTAACCTTGGCCCATATTGTTCCTGTCTAAAAAGACGATTGATTAGAAATTAAATGTTGTCAGCAATTTTTTCTAAACTTCCAAGTATGCTATATATACTTTTTATATACTACATGTAATATTGTGCCAAGAGTGTGGGATTGTGGGAGTCTCAGGTTTTTTAAGTGGTTCTGTTTAAAACAGTACTTTGCTGTTTCGGTGACTCATCTGCCATTTTGACCTGTCACATGCAACTATCCATGGTTAGTAGTAAGTAGTAAACATGATTACTTTCATTTCACTTTTAAACATTCAAAGGGTCACTAGCATAGAATTTTGTTAGATCCAAAATGTTGTTTATGGCTTGTTATCGTAAATCTATGCATAAAAGAAAGCATGTTTGTAGTATGATTTACGTTACTTACGAGTAATAAAATATACATAAAAGTAATGTACTATTATAACATAACCCAAGAGAACCTCCACACTACTGCTTACAATATTAATATCAATGTGTCCTCACCTGTGACATTCCAGCCTAATATACACATGTTTAGTGTGTAATGTGCCAAATTTATGCAGATTACTCTAGATTTCATTTAAAATGTTTTGTATAACTTGTAACAAAGTTGTTTAATGTGGCAGTATCTAGCAAACCAGTTCAAACATAAATCAGTTCTGTCAACTAAATATAATTTTTTATCCTTTTAATTTGAAAAGCAGTACGTCTTAATAGACAGTGTACTTCAAAATTTCTATTGTGTTCCCTTAATTTTTTTTGAAGGTGACACAAAACCCCTTAAACTACAGGAACTAGGAAGAACATTATACGTGAGGTGTTGTATTATGTGTAATAATTATGTAAATTATGACGTAGTCAAGAAGAACAAAAAATGGGCTCATATTATGCTAAAAGCTGTATTTTACATTTCTATAACAATATTGTAAAATATTTTTATACAACTGTTTTACACCAATAACCTGACATTTTTTTTACTATGTCACTAAAGATAGAAGTAACATATTTTTTCAACTTAAACATAATACACTATGTGATAACGAACGAATGAGTATACTTATTAAAGTACTGGATAAAAGTAGTTGAATTTTAAAATTATACCGATCTCTGCATGGTTATATAAATCTAGCTCTCACTAGATACCTAACTCCTGTTTTGTCGCTAAGGCCTAGTGTTGAAAAATCACCTTGTATAGACATACATAAGTAGAGAAAAAACTGAATGTTCATCTTATGTATTGAATGGTATTTTATTACCAGTCTCGTTAATTTTTGAGTGGGTAGCTATTGGACTAGATACTATTGCATTCTTCATTCTATTTTGTATAATACTTTACTCAAGGTGGGTATACTATGTGCAAAGTGTAGGAAGAACTTATACTGCTCACATTTAACCACTATCAAAGGATTTAGTGGACTAAATAAACAGGAATATTCTACGTAGGGACAGCCAATGAGCAACTTGTATGCAAAAATAATTACCAGAATATTTGCATATCAAAACTAGTCTGTTAAATAAATTTTTGCTTAGTCTTTATGTGTGTGCATGTTTCATATCAGACACAAGAATTATCTGTACAGTTATTTTATTGAAAATAAAATTTCCAAAAAAAACTAGTAAATTTTAAAAACCGTTACCATTTTTTTTAAGGCTAAATAACAAATTTGTTAATAAATAGGAATATATTATTGTTACTGATGTTTCAACTTTTATAGTGTTGTATTGTACAGAAACATTAAATAGTATATGCCAAGTGTTAAAGATTATACGAATACTAAAGGTATTAAAAAATGTTTGTTTTTCTTAGAAATATCAGTTTTCACATTACTGTTTTGTACATTTGTATTCAATTCTTCTTTCATGTGTTTATGTACTTTAAATTCTAGAGATTTCTGATATGATAGCAAAACTCCGATTTTTTGTATGTTTTACAATATTTTACAGTTGTTTTTGTTGTGCTTGCTTGCATATTTAGAACAGTGGGATAGAAGGCATAGTTTTTCATAGGAGTAAATATTTAATATTTTCTAAATCTTTTGTAAACAACAGAGGCCAGCTTTAGATGAAGTGTTAGTGATTTTTGTGGTATGTTTAATTTTCAACAACAACACGTTTATTCAACCGACGTAGGCTTATGCAATTAAAAGAAGTACAACATTTATATGATTACACAATAAATAATTCATTGTATAATTATTTTAACATTATGCTCCTTTTTATTGTATATCCATAGCTTTGTTCCTTTCACTTAAGCCTTTGTTTGTTCTGACCATCCGCTGTGAAATATTTTTCTTTCTTTCCTGTTCTGTGGATTTAATAAATCAACAATTTTTTGGCTCTTGACTTCATTTTTTTACACATCCTTGAGTTTTCTTGTCATTTACATAGTTCGGTTGTGTCTCGCACAAATGATGAATTCGGTTGCAGTTGTTCATGTTACAACAAGAATTAATTAAGTGGACCAACCTTGAACTGCCACATGTATCTTTAAATTTTAGTTTCCACCCTACAGTGAGTCATTTGTTTTCTTAAATATACATTGTGAGCTGTATTTACAAGTCTTTGTTCAAACTATAGTGCTAAAAATGACTTTTTTCATAAGAAAACAAAACTTAAATGCTGGTAACATATGAACAAGTAAAGTTATCATAAAATAATCCCCTGTTAACTTGAACTCTGACTTTGCATACAGAAATGTAGAGTTGTTCTTATTGTTAATTATGACATATTGTTCAAATGAGTACAAGCTTGATTTTCTAACTTAAGTATTCCTTTAAATATTCTTCAACTAATATAATGAAGTATTTTAAGGATGATATTCTTTGATGTATTTTTGACATTCCTTGAAATAGCGTTTCTACAATAATATTTATAAATGTTAACGTTTTGAACTGATCAGCATATCATTGGAACACAGAGAAAATTATTCTTCAGATCTGGGTGTTTCAAATTCTTGTTAAAAATATCAAACATGAAGGTCACGTTCACTATAAGATTTTCTCAAGAATAACAAAAGTACTTATTTAGGACCTGGTATGTATGGAAACAAAAAAAAACAATCTATAGTACAGTACAAGAACTCTGTATTACAAAGCGACCTAAAAACACCAAAATGTTGTTCTTATTTAATTGTTAGCTTCTTCAAGAGTGTTCACTAAAACACAAACCGAAACTGACTGTTGATGTTGGTTTGTGTTTTAGATAATTGTGAAAACAGTATATAATGATTATAGTCAATAAATGTATATTATATATGTATGTGTTAGATGTTAAATAGGTCGGGAGTAATATGTTTCAAGAAATGTTCATCCAACTGTGTAGCGTAGTGAACATGGTGCTCCCTCTTTTGTCAATTAAAAGACTCAAGAAAACTGTAATGAACATATTCTGAGTTTGTAGTGTTAAATATTTGTCATTTGCAAAACAAGGTAAAAATGACCATTTACTCTAGGTAAATCAGAACTTAGTTTGTCTAATGTGTTGCCATTGTGTTTTTTTTTTGGGGGGGGGGGACTTGGACAAACTAAATTCTGACTTATTTGGAGTGAAGGCTGTTTTTGTTATGAACATTGTTATAGATAATATAAATCGAAAAAAGAACTTTTAAATTATTCAGTAATTAATTGGTCTTTTAATGCACATATTAGGTTCTCAAATAACAATGTTACTTTCTTCCAGACTTATAAAAAAAAAAGTATCGTTTTTGAATAATTGGAAGTTTCTGAGCTTTTCACAAGTTATTAAAAACGTATGCAGCACAAAGAATTAAATTCAAATATAATGTGAATACTGATTAGTTATGCTAAGCACATTCTACTGGATATTGTGAAAGAAGCAGGTGTTTATACAAAGGTTTATCAAAAAATCATTATGTTAGTAGTGTAGTGATAGTCTAGTTTTAAAGGTGAAGTCTTTCTAAACCCCCGTAGAATCTTAACACAGATTACAGTTATCTTACAGACTTTATAAAAAACCTAAATACAGCACCCAATAATAGGCTGTCCTGATTAAGTTTTTTATTATAATTACGCTTAATACCTATGCAGGCAGAGACTTTTGTATTATTTTTATAATTTCATATTATCACAAGATTATACAAATTTCTAATTACTGAAAGCCTAGGGATGTATCTAATAAAAACCCAACCTTCATTTTGTGTTGTTCTCAGTCAAATTAGTGCTGCATGTATGTGTAAACTGCCATGTTGATATATAACCCCTCAGAAGAGTGATGTACCTGTTTTATATTATGATTGTGGTATGTCAGTTTAACCTAAGAAGCTGGGCTGGTGTATTATAACATTAGTGGGGGTAACCAGTTGTACATGTGTAGGTTTAATCTGATATGAATAACAAATATGTTAGCCAATTAGACGTGTATTTACTACAACAATGTGGCACATTTATTGTTATTGTGTGTAAATATAATATCTGTAAATGTGTTATATATGGTTCCTAGTCAAAATAAACGTTTAAAATTAGATGTTTTGTTTTTATTTACTTTTTAACCAATATTGGTTGTTCTTAATTTTTTAAACGTTTTGAAACAGTCACTTCTGATCTATGTAATTACTTTGATCACATTTGTACGATATCTGTTTATTTAATTTCTAATTAACGTAACATATCTACTTTATTTAATTAATAACTTACATGACATATATATATATATATATGCTTAATTTAATTCACAATCAACATGTTTTGTACCAAGCAAACACCTGTAAGAAATACATAGAATATTCATCTGATTAGTGATACGTATATACATAATGTTGCTTACATTTAGAACAAGCATTTCTAGTTTTAAACTCAACAGTTTATGCCATTTTTATCAAAGATGTAATCAGAACTCTGTTGAAAATAAAACTGTCATACAAAGATAACTTTTTATGGAAATTAAACCATTCCTTTTTCTTTTTTTTGGTTTCTAAGTTCAATTCAGTTTTTTATGGAAACCCACAAAAAAAGAAAAACAAAAAATTTGGTCCAAGAATGTTCCTGAGTAGTCAACTGAAACTAATATTGCCCACCCTACCCCCAGCTGTGACACAAAGTTTTGAAGAAAAAAAAGAGAGTTACAGTACAACTATGAGAACTCCCACATCTTCTGCCCCCTTTATCCACACAGGACAGACTTGACTGCTTCCCATATAGCAATAATATACCCTGTTAAAAACCATAAACAAATTATATGAATTTATATACAGAATGTGTTCCACATGTTGTTCTTGTAATTTGAAATAAGTTTGGATTAGCTTTGGTGGCTCCATAATCAGTCAAGTATCTGAAGTTAAGAAAAGCTGCACGTCGCCCGTTATTCCAGACTGTTCGGACATCCTGTAGATGTATCCATACATATGTATGTGTTTTATATCCAATACACGATATAATTAAAGTGAACATGGTTAAATTTAGAATTA